GTAGATGAATTTAGCGCTCCCTTCCCCCACTCACCTTTTAATGTCTTTTATCAACCTGAATAACTATGTAACTATGTAACTTTGTGACGATCTCCACACATTTACTTCCTTGAAATATGCCCTGTTGATAGGCACTGCAGTGTCACACATTTCACAGAGCCTGCCTTCTGACCTACAGAAGTGCTGAGAGGAGGAGTTTCAGGAGGAGTCAGTACAGAAATCACAGCTTGCAGGCAGCAAAGTACCATAGGGTATGTACAGTAGTCCTTAAATTTGAAAGTAGCAAGCAAAGAAGAAGCTGCAAAACATGCAGGGAATCCAAGTAAGAGGCAGGCAGTAGACAGGCAGAACTCGCAACATGAAAGGAGATTTTTCAAGTAAGCTTATGTTGGATTGTCAAATCTAACTGTCGTTTGTATTGTTATTACAATGCTGATGTTATAAAATTAAAGTTTATGCTGTGACAATAGAACTCCTTTAAATGTGAAAAATGTTAATCATACTATCAGGGGCGGACTGACAACTCATGGGGCCCCCGGGCAATAGGGGATCATGGGGCCCCTGTGTCCTTGCCCAAACTCAAAAAAGCCTATGAAAAGGTACCAGGGGTATCTCATGGGGCCCCCTACTGACCCCGGGCCCTCGAGCAGTGCCCGAGTTTCCAAATGGTCAGTCCGCCCCTGCATACTATATGGATTAATGTCAATCCATAGGTCTCTTTAAAAGTGTTCTTCGTCTGTTTTATCTTAGATTATTAGGTCTGTGTTCTCCTCCTATTTACAGCACACTGACGTACTGCAAAATGTGACTGTAATTAAACACCTTACTAGAGAGTACACGGGAATATATTTCCGAGCTTGTTTTGCCTGGCAAATGAATTATGTAAACCTTCCCCATCGGAATCTGTTTCAAGTCAATTAATTGTTGTAATTACTTAAGATTTCTTTTTAATGAATATAGCTCCCTGGGGATCAGATGATATCCTGTCATCTCTGGTCCTGATAAATGAAATGTGAAATGTGATTTGTGGCTGGTTTCAGGCTGAACCTTTGCTCTTGAACAATGTCTCTTTCCGAGCTGCTCATTAAGGGGGAAAATGCCCTTGATAGAGCTCTGAGCATTTATAACGGTCTGTCCCTTACAAATTGAATAGAACTTACTGCTGAAAATTTTGCCTCAGTGGAACATTTCATCAGTGAATTATGGGAGTGTGAAATTGTCTACATCCAGAATACACATTATCCCTAGTGCTTGGCATTAAGCAAAACTAGAGATGAGCGTTAATAGAACAGAACGGGTTAAAGGCACGATCGATGAATCCCAGTACGAACATAAACAATACATATGTATTTACGCTGCCTCTAAAACAATCAACATTTGCGGTTTCACATGGCATGTGATGCACACGATGCGCAATTCAGAACGGGGATAATAATATTTAATAGCAATACAACAGTGTCAAGAGTATCGTTCTCCTAAACGAATCCAGCGAGTATCTGAGCGTAGATGTAATCAAACAGAGGGCTTCTGATGATTACTTTACACATATCCAGGTGGAAGCGTTCTTATTCCCTAGTTACGTATGTTATGCTTCAAAGCTTCTCCCTTGTCGTTTGCCTTTGAGCTATCATAACGGCACAGTGATTTCCCACTTCAGTGCAATGTTTGTAAGTGTCCTTTTCTTCCCAATCTGATGAACAATGCCACAAAATGTGCTCTTCTGGTAGTAATTTGTTTGCAGCCATTAAATGATAGAATTACAAAACTAGATTAGAATCAAGCTCCAATAACTTTTCTGAGATTAATGTGATTTTTACATTTGATCTGTCACAAGCGGTAACGGCTCAGTCATTTAAATCTGACTCTTTTTGTTCCTAATCAAGATCATTTAAGACATGTTAATACTAGGGCTTAGAGGTACAGCTATACTATGTCTAAGTACAGATTCAGCTAAGCACTTTACTGTGCGGTGCCTTTTTAAAATATATTTATGTACAATATGAAATGTCAATTTGAAGTCAGAATGATGTTGGTGGATAACATCTTAAAGCCAGGGGCACTGCCCGAGGGCCCGGGGTCAGTAGGGGGCCCCCATTAGATACCCCTGGTTCCTTTTTCATAGGCTTTTTTGAGTTTGGGCAAGGACACAGGGGCCCCATGATCCTCTATTGCCTGGGGCCCCATGAGTTGTCAGTCCGCCCCTGCTTAAAGCACATCTTCACCCTAACCCCTGCTTATATGATTGCAGGTCCTGCACAGTTAAGATATTCACCCACCTGGGGGATTCACCATTGTCCTGCTGAGAGCCTCTCCTCTTCTGCCACCCACTGGGTTCAGCGCCTACATGTTCTTACGTGACACCATCAGGAAGCTGTTGGCTCTTCCAGGTTCAGCCGATGGCTCTTCCAGGTTCAGCCGATGGCTCTCCCAATGACGAACCACTAGGTCTACCCCCTTCCTCCTTTCTCCTTTCCAAGGATTTGTGCATCACATACATGATATTCACAACAGGCAAAGTGCATTTCATTCACCTAGGCAGGTGACATGAATGAAGGGCATGCCAGAGATTTTTTTGTAAGAAAAAAAAAAAAGGTAAAAAAAAAACAAACTATTTGCACAGTGGACGGAAGGAAGAGTGGAGATCCTCAAATTGAGGGTGAAGACCTGCTTTGAAAAGACTCACAAAACACAGAGTACCTAACATTATGAAGAAATGCTCAACTAAAAAAATTGTATGCAAAGGATCATTTCCATAACAACCGCCCCCCCCCCCCCCAAAAAAAAAAAGATGCCATGGAAAAATGGGGATTTTAAAGGTGCTCTCATGCATAGCAAAACAACAATATAAATATTACACAGATTAAAAAGTTTTTTCTTTTATATTCCATTGTGTAAAAAACATGCAATACCAGCTACAGTACAATTAACAGATACATGTGCTTTAAAATTGAGAAAAATGAAGAGCAGATGGATCAACGCATTTCGTCGAGAGAAAGCTACTTAGGATCCACTTCATTTTGCACAATTTATAACATTGTAGCTGATAAACAATACAATCAGTAAATTAGTACATACACAAAATACAAAAGATAACAAACAATCTATATCATAACACCAGTGTTTTCCATGTATTAGATCAGTGGTTCTCAACCTTCCTAATGCCGTGACCCTTTAATACGTTCCTCATGTTGTGGTGACCCCCAACCATAAAATTATTTACCCAGTAATTATAATTCATGAGTGTCGTTTTACCTCCAATACTGCTGCTTTCAACACAGTAGCTGCTTTTAACAGAGCTGCTTTCAACACAGCAGCTGCTTTCTACACAGTAGCTGCTCTTTACACATCGGAAATATGTGTTTTCTGATGGTCTTAGAGGACCCCTGTGAAAGGGTCGTTCAACCCCCAAAGGGGTCGCGACCCACAGGTTGAGAACCACTGTATTAGATCATCATGAGATAACAATATGAGGAAAGGGGGGGAGAGAGAAAAAAAACAATTATAAAATAAAAAAAAAAACCCAAAGCTGAAAGCTAATGCCCCCAGTCTGGGGGGACGGCTAGACACAAAGGGGTGTAGGCACTAATAATATGCTTAAATAAGCACAAAAAAAATGTACAAACAAATATGCACAGTGGCCCATGGTATGCTTACCCAGAGTAAGAAAATATAAAAAAAAATCAGAAATATGCAGCCAACCAGCCAGCACATGATGTTCCCACAATGCAGATAACCTCAGAGATATCAGGGTCAGAAGAATGAGATTGGAGATGTCAGAGCCTAGATGACCTATGAGGACACAAAGAACACATATAAAACCTAAATCTTCAAAGTGGATTTATGTGATGTGTGCAAGGTAAATATGCATTATACTAGCCAAGATCACTTACCCTCATAAGAAAACCAGCCAGTCACCCAGCGCATACAACAAAAAAAGGAAGAATATGTGAGTAGAACCGACAGAAGAGGGCCCTCCTGAGTATACACAATATGGCGTGGGGTAGAAAAGGACATTTCAACTGTAAGCCTGGGTTCACATATGCGGTGCGCTATATCGCATGTGATTCACACAGGAAACGCACCACATTCCTGTGCAAATCGCATGTGATTTGTGTGCGGTGCGATTGGAGCCATACAGCCACACCAAAAACATGCAGGACCCCTTTTTTTTGGTCCGCACTAGAATTGCATTGCATGGGTATTCACACCTATGTGATCCGATTCTGCACATCGCACCGCATTTTGCGGACCACTTTGGGGGGTTGTTAACTTAACATACACATCAGCAGCAGTTCGCATGAACGGGATGCGATTCTGATGCGGTGCGTAATTCTCACTTAAAACACTGAGAATTCCGCACCGCATCAGTGTGAACCAGGGCTAAAGCAATAAAACAATCATAATTAAGAAATGCTCTTATAGAAACTAAACAAATGACTACAAAATTGGATGGAAAGTTCCATTCTTTTATTACACAGAGTACCAGAAGTACCTCTGTATATTGGTGTTTATCTGTACAAAGAAGAGTCATTATTTCCCCACAGCATTGAAATCGGATAATAACAATTGAAACTGTATCTAAAGCCAAGATCAAAAAATAAAGATAATCCATTTTACCAGTTGTTAGATGTGGTGGCTGCATTAGTTTTCTTTAATCAGGATTTTCAGCTGGTGATTCTGCCAATAACACACTTCCTGTCCTAGGATGACAACACTCCCTCACTGCATTGTGGAGGAGCAACGTTGTCACCCGAGGACAGGAAATGTGTTAGGACTACCGGACAGGAAGTATGTTAAGTCTACAGAACACCTCATCCTCTCCTATAAGAGGAGTGTTCTGTAGTTCACATAGGTCACCTGGGCAGGGCTTATACGACTGCAGATCTACAGGACATAGGGCAGCAGAGGATTTATGTCAGTATCAACAGGTAAATTTTTTATTATATAACAAAATGCTTTTAACCTCCTTGACGGTATTCCCGAGTGTAGCTCGGGGTAACATTTCAGTACCAAAAGCGGTAACCCCGAGCTACACTCGGGCTTACCCTGCGGCACTGCTCCGGCATGTTGTCTTCACTTACCTTACCCTGCGCTCCCACGATGTGTCCCCTGCAGCGTCCCCGGCCATCTCCTCCGGCCGATGCCGGCATCCGGCTTCTGTGTCCTGTCCCTGTGACGTCGGGACGTACGGGCGCCGCCGCCGCCGCCGCCGGCGGCGGGAAATTTAAAAATTTTAAAAAAATGTCTTTTTTTTTTTTTTTACATTTTTCATAGTAAAACATTGCTGTTTCAACCAATTTCACATACATATTGTCCCTAGTGCTTTGTCCTGTGCCCTGCCTGCATTTTGTCTGTTCTTTCTGCCTGGAAACTGAGAAATGTCCATGGCGTCCAAAAAGTGTCCCTTTAGGTCAAAAGCGGTTTAGATCAGCTAGAGAACAGCGATAGTAAATCAGAACCACTTGCAGAATTGAGTGATAATGATTCGTGGGGGAAATTCGTCATCAGACACTGAAAACGATTTTGCAACTTTGCTCAGAGATGTGCGAACTTGGCGCTATATTTCACATTTCAGTGTTTTTGGTTTGATTATATTATTGAATTAAATTTTTTATTATTTTTATATTATTTTTATGATTATTTATTAAATTATAATTTATGATTTTGTGTTTCAAATTTTATCATACCCGGGATGTTTACTAGACTCTTGTTCGGACAGATTTCAGTGAGTTATTCCTAAAAATTACAGCCTACAATAAAAAAAATACATATTTCCATGCAAAAAAATGGTACCGCTTTCAGCACCAAAAATCTGAAATAATCATACCGCCAGGGAGGTTAAGTATATATTTAACAGGCAAAGGGAGCAAATTAGAAACAGTTTGGGCTAACATGTATTTTAACTGGAATTCTTACTGACACTTTGGTATTGTCACAGATCTTCTTCCTTCTTTACTCTGTACCTGCTGGTGGCTTTAATAGCTGGATGAATGTGGTTTCAGAGGGCACCAGCTGTGGTTTCAGGGGCCAACTTGCAGCCAAAGTACCTGTGATAAAGTGGAACTATGGACAAAATCAAAACTTTTACAAATATTGTTACATGCTTTCCTGAACACGTGGTCTACTGATAGCACTTAACTACATGCCTACGGTGCACTTTTACCCCCTTCCTGCCCAGGCCAATTTTCAGCTTTCAGCGCTGTCACACATTGAATGACAATTGCGCGATCATGCAACACTGTACAGATATGAAATTTTTAGCACTTTTTCACACAACTAGAGGCTTCTTTTGATGGTATTTAATCACCCCTAACTTTTTAATTTTTTGCCAAACAAATGAAAAATAAACGTTTTTCTTAGTTTTTGTAATAACATTTTGCAAACAGATAATTATTTTCCTTCACTGATGTGCGCAGGTGAGGCTGCACTGATGGACACTGATATGCAGCACTGATGAACACTGATAGGCAGCACAGGTGGGTACTGATGAGGAGGCGCTGATGAGGTTGCACTGATATGCGGCAGTGATGGACACTGATTGATGGCACTGATGGGCACTAATAGGCAGCACTGAAAGGCACTGATAGGCAGCACTTATAGGAGGCACTAATAGGAGGCACTGACTGGCAGCACTGATGGGCACTGACTGGCAGCACTAATGGCCACTGACTGGCAGCACTGATGGACACTGATTAGCAGCACTGATAGACACTGTAGGATGTACTGATAGGTGGCTCTGACTGGCAGCACTGATGGGCACTGACTGGCAGCACTTATGGCTACTGACTGACAGCACTGATGGGCACTGACTGGCAACACTTATGGCTACTGACTGGCAGCACTGATGGACACTGATTAGCAGCACTGATGGACACTGTAGGAGGTACTGATAGGTGGTACTGACTGGCAGAACTGATGGCCACTGATTAGCAGCACTGATGGACAGTGATAAGCAGCACTGATGGACACTGTTGGGGCAGCACTACTAAAAATCAGGGCCTGATGTCCCTTTTCACATTTGCCAGACACCGGCTCTCCTCTTCTCACGCTCACGCTGTGACAGTGTAAGGAAATTACTTCCGCTAACCGGCAACTGTGTTTACGTCATGATTAGCTGTGTCAGTGGACACAGCTGATCACGTGATAAAGGGCTGCTGTGATTGGCCCTTTGCCATGATCTGTGGTCAGCTGTGTCCGAAGGACACATCAATCACAGAGAGCTCCGTGTGCGTGCCGCAGCAGGGCGCGGGGTTCTGGTAGAACATCGATAGACGCCCTCCCAGAACTGGATGACCGGTGATAGTGCAGTCAGCAAGTGGTTAAAGCGGTTGTAAACCTCTGAGTGAAATATGAATAAGGCATATCCCTGTGTAATGTGTGCTTATCTCATTTCAGAACACTAAGTGTAATTTCTGTCTGTTGCCTTGTTCCTCTGCTATCTATTATGATATGGTTCTCTTCCTACCTATCGCAGCGCTCCTTCAGCGTTATAACTCTGTCTCCTCCTCTCTACTTCCTCTTTCTGTAGGGGTCCCTCACGTTTCTGTCCTTGGACCCCTTCTCTTCTCCATCTACACCTCCTCCCTTGGTCACTTAATAAACTCCCATGGCTTTAAGTACCATCTCTATGCTGATGACACACAAATCTATCTTTCTACCCCTCACCTCACCCCTTCAGTCTCCTCTCGCATTACTAACCTACTAAGTGACATATCGGCATGTATGTCACTCCACTTCCTCAAACTCAATCTTTCTAAAACTGAGCTCTTAGTATTCCCCCCATCCCATGCCCCCTCCCCTGACTTCTCCAACAAGATCAATAATACAATCATCAATCCCTCCCCTCATGTCAGGGAACTAGTTGTAATCCTAGACTCCCATCTGTCCTTCCAGCCCCAGATCCAATCACTGTCCAAATCTTGTAGACTTCACCTCCGCAACATCTCCAAGATATGCCCGTTCTTAACCTCAGATACTACTAAGCAACTTATTCACTCCCTGGTTATCTCTTGTCTTGTAACTCCCTCCTCTCATGGCCCACCACATTGCAGGCTATCCCCTCTTCAGTCTATCATGAATGCTGCTGCCAGACTCATCCACCTTACTAACCCTTCCATATCTGCCACCCCTCTCTGCCAATACCTCCACTGGCTTTCCATTGCCCAACGAATAAAATTAAAAACATTAACAATAAGCCATTTATAACTCTGCCCCAAATTACATCACCAATCTTGTCTCCAAATATCACCTAAACCATCCTCTCCACTCCTCCCATGACCTCCTGCTCTCTAGCTCCCTTGTTTTCTCCTCCCATGCTCATCTCCAGGACTTCTCCAGAGCCTCCACCATCCTCCCTTTCTTGACATCAGAGAAAAAAGGTGACAGCAGAGGGAGCTGCAACACACAGCTCATGATTGACAGTCTCTGCTCTATTCTTGTGTACTGTGTGAAGGGGGGGTGCCTTCCCTCCAATCAGCTCTCAGAGCTCTCCTTACTGAGGTCTGCAGAGTGTAACTTCAGCTCTCCACCCCCTTCTTTCTGAAAGCTCTGTATCAATTTTGGACTTTGGCTGTAGAGAAGAAAGGCTGCAGATAAACAAATACAACTTATGTAGGGGGGTTTGTTCCATCTTTGTGTATCACCTGAGTTACTCTTTAAGTTAGCAAGTAGTTACAAATATACATTATGTGGGCAGGAGTGAAGTTGTGGCTAAAAGCAATCGGAGAGGGCTTTTGGAGTTAAACCTGCCAAACTTGAATAAAGAGATCTACAACATATACATGTGACACATTTTATCTGCCCAGAGCTTTTGTTTTTCATGCAAGAATTGTTTGAGTACATCAGATCACTCTGCTGTGTGTAATTGCAGGTAAACTTGTGCTAGGGGAACACTAAAATTTTACAGAAAAGTAAAATGATTCACTGTAAATTGTCTGGATGTGGGAAGGCAACATCTGCTATGCATCTCTATTTGTGTTGTGCAAAGTGATAAAAAAAACCCTGCAGAATCATTGACACCAGATGGGCACAACCCATTTATATGACAAGGTGTTACAGACCTGCATAAAACTGCTTACACCAAAAGGACTGACCTCTGGCCACTGTTGAGGAAATATAAAAGTGTATATGTTATAGTGTATGGGGCAGCTAATACTCTGCGTGGAATGGGATATATCACATACCGCTGCCCCTCAGCCGTTTCTCACCCAGCATTCAAACATTAACTATTTTCTTTTCAGATTTTACTGTTTGATCCCCAATACTATTTTATATATGTTACATGCTCACAGATTTAAGGATATGTTCTTTTCTATTATCTACATTCCTCAATACAAATGTATTAAAGTGTTACTAAACCCAGGACTCTTCATTCACTATATCTGGTGTCCCACAGTACACAGAACATGGAAATGCAATTATTTTAGTAAATATAAACTGCTAAATACCTTTTCTCTTCAGTAGTTACAACAGTCTTGTGACTTCCATCAGTTTCCAGCACAGCACTGGTTAAAGCTTGTCGGAGGAGTTTTCATTCTTCTATGAGGCTGCATAACCCTGGACCCTCTGTCTGGACAGCTCTGATTGGCCCTGTGCTGATCACATGCACTCTCCCAAGGAGAAAAAAAAAACTTTCCAGCAATACACACCAAACGGAGCATGTTCAGCTTACCCCCAAGACTCTGTTCTATCAGCAGATGGATTGTGGACAGTAGAAGAAGGGGAGGATCAGAGAAGACAGGATCAAACAGTCTTTTTACACAATGTGAAGGATTAACCACTTAGGTTCCACATTGAGTATAACAAGCATGCTTTACTGCATATACAGACTGATTTTACTGTTGTTGGTTTAGTAACTATTTCATTTTAAAAATGTATATGTGTCTCTGTATGCCTGATATACAATTTATTATGTACTGGTAAGACTGGTGGCAAAAAAGTTTCCTCTATGCTATGTATGTCCATATTAAAGGGTATCTTTAGCCAGAACCTTTTTTTTTTTTTTAGATGGGGAAGAATTAAAACCCCAGATAGGTTTTTATAGCATCTACCTCTCTCTGCCAACACAGTGTTTTTACATTCTGAATATCTTTGCTGTTATTGATGTTTCCAGGATCTTTACTCTGACCCATTAGACATGGGGGGGGGGGGTGTAAAAAAAAAACGACTTGGCTGCTTTCTTCCTTATTGGTCATTTGTGGAATCAAATAAATGCTTTTAGACTCTTTTGAACTCACAAACGTTTGTTTGATGCTCCTTAGTTATGCATAGACTGCTCAAACAAGAGAACCAGTTTTTGTGGTAGAGTGGCCAAACCTAATCCATTGGGCTGAGCTAAGGATTCTATGTGGACCTATTCTTTGGT